CCACTAGTGTTGTGTCGATAGTTCGATAAATGCCAAAACAGGAAAGATTTTAACCATTCTCGTGGCAGAAGACCTTAGAGCGGCGGCGTTTGGCAAACAGTTAGAAAACCATATCCAGTTGATAAAAATCTGGCTTTCCAACCGACTTGTACTCCTTTCCAGTCAGAAAGATGCCAAGAATTATGTTTAGCTGAATTTATTACCTCCTTATATCCTTTCCATGCTCTCCACTGCTCTCAGTTGTTTCAAGCAAACAATGGATCCACTGAAAGAGTCAGATTAAGTGTTTGCCTGTCACGTATGCACTACAGGAAGAGAGAGAAGCATATTTTTCCATGAAGCAATTCTCTTACAGGGAAACCATACCTGAGAAAAATAAATAAAATACCCGTTTCGTCGAAGGAATCCGCAAAAGGTCTTGACGTACGGTGAATCCACATTTTTCGGCCACGTTTGATAGGTATTCGAGGTAACAACGATAGGAACTCGATCTGTCGTCATCGCGTTGAAACTTACCAAAGAAATCGTAAGTGCAGCAAGGCAACAGAAAGAAATTACACGAGGGATGCCTAAGCAAGAAATAAGTCAGAATTTAAATAAAACATTAAAAAGATATGTAAATTCTAAATTTAAAAGCAATGAACAATTGTATTTATTATCTGGACAGGTTATAACTGACGCAGATACGCTCATGTCCTTACCTAAGTACAGAAAAATGACAGAAGTCTAAAATAGCATGAGAAGGCTTGTCATGAACAAGGGAACGGACGGTCAAGAGGCCAGTGGTAAATCAGGACTAATGGAAGTTCACACGCCTTACAGGCACATCAGTATAAGCAAAGGATCCATTATCAGACTTATCTTCGATATGAAAGCAAATCGAGCCTTCCAGCATTTTTTATTCTCCGCTTTAAGCCTCCACTGCCTCCAAATGATTTGCCCCCGTCGAATCGGTCCACCATATTCTTGAACGGCTGACTCGACGTAGGTAGTCCAAAGGAACTTCGTTCACAATTTTCTACGTCTACTGGTTATCTCTCTGGCGAGCCACACTACCGATCCGTCCTATCCTCTCTTGACACTGTAGAAAGCAGAAATTACGTTTCTTAACTGAGTCTGTGCGCTCTGAATGTGATTCTGGACGAATGCATTGCACATTTTTGATCCCTCGATCTTTGCGTCATCTTCAGCTTGATCTCTATTCAAATAAG